AGGCAGGGAACGGACAGGGAACGGGAACGGACAGGGAACGGGCAGGGACAGGGGAGGGAACGGGAACAGGCAGGGAACGGGCACAGACCGGGCACGGACCGGGCAGGGACACGGAGCCGCTGGAGAGATCCAGAGAGGCCCCAGAGCTGTTCCAGGGCTGGAGCCAGGCTGGGAGAGCTGGGAATGTTCCCCTGGAGAAGGGAAGGCTCCAGGGAGAGCTCAGAGCCCTGCCAGGGCCTGGAGGGGCTCCAGGAGAGCTGGAGAGGGACTGGGGACAAGGGATGGAGGGACAGGACACAGGGAATGGCTCCTACTGCCAGAGGGCAGGGATGGATGGGAGATTGGGAATTGGGAATTCCTGGCTGGGATGGAATTCCCAGAGCAGCTGTGGCTGCCCCTGGATCCCTGGCAGTGCCCAAGGCCAGGCTGGAGCACCCTGGGTCAGTGGGAGGTGTCCCTGCCATAGCAGGGGTGCTGTGGAATTGGATTTATGTTCCAACCCGACCCACTCCAGGATGATTCCATGATGGACCAGCCGTGCCCTCCCTGCAGTATCCCGGACTTGCTGGGGGGGAAGGACCTTAAAGCCCCCCCAGTCCCAGCCCCTCCTTGGGCTCGGAACCTTCCAGGGCCCAGGTGGGAGCAGGGTCTGGCTGTGGGAACGGCTCCAAGACAAACCCGCGGCGGTTCCGGAATGAGTAGAGACAGCTCAACCCTGGGAAGGGCAAATAAACCCAGAGTCAGATTTACGAGCAAGGAATTTCCCCAGCTCAGGGCTCAGGGTTTGGTTTTTGGGCGGGATTTACTGTCCCTGACAGAGGTGGGAGATGTTCTACGAATCACAATTTCACAAAGAAAACTCACTAAGTTTTCCCTTTTTTATTCTCAAAATGGCCTCCCAGGATTTTGTGGCTTTTTGAATCCTGCTCAGGGCTGGCACAGGCACCTAAAAATGAAATTTAAATATTTTACATCTATTTTGAAACTCTTTCTCTTGCTGTTAAATCCTAGGTGGAATACATGGGGAAAATGGGAATAACTGAGGAGTTTGGAAGGAGTTGGGAGGAATCTGGAGGAAATTTGGAAGGAATTGAAGAATTTGGAAGGAATCTGGGGAGGAAAGGGGAAGAATTTGGAAGGAATTACAGAATTTAAAGGGAATTTTTAAGGACTGGGGGACAGTTTGAAGGAATTGGGAAAGACTTGAAGGGAAGCAGCGAGACCAATCAATCCCTGGGGATGTGTTGGATCCCCATCCCTGGAGGTGAGCCTGGATGTGGTGCAGGATAATCCCACCCATCTCCATGGAAAGTTGGACCTGGCTGCACCCGGAATGTTCCAGGGTCGGGTGGGGTTTGCTGCAGGGCAGTGACAGACACCATCCCTCCCTGGGGACTTCCAGGTGCCACCCCCACCCCGAGTCTTTGTCCCCGTGTGATTTATGTGTGATTTATGAGTGATTTATGAGGATGTTTTCCACTGATCCCGGCTCCAAACCTGCTGGGTGGCTCCAGGGTGGCCTGAGCTGAGGGTCACCCTCGGGGCAGGATCCTGGGTGTCCTCCTGGAGCTTCCTGCTCCCCTGTTTGCAGAGAGGGACAGGCCATAAATCAAAAAAACTGGAAAACCCCATCAGTCTTCAGAGAATCGAGGGGAAAAGTCCTCAGAGACCGAGTCCAACCATCCCCAGCACTGCCACAGCCACCCCGACCACGTCCCCAAGTGCCACATCCACAGGGATTTTAAACTCCCCCAGGGAGGGGACTCCACCACGGCCCTGGGCAGCTGGGCCAACCATTTTTGGGGATGGAATTTTTCCAATATCCAGCTGAACTTCCCCTTGAACAGCCTGGGGCTGTTTCCCCTTGTCCTGTCCCTGTCCCCTGGGAGAAGAACCTGACCTTCTCTCTCTCAAGGTTTTTTCATAGAAGAGCACAGAGGAAAGAAAGAGAAAACAATTTCTATTTCTGCTCCTTGTTTTTCCCATGCGGAATGTGTCTAAAGAATTATTTACTTAGGGTAATTACTTGATTGGATTTTGAAATGCCATGGAATAGGACAGACATTGCTGAGAAATGGAGCCAGAAACAAGTTTTAAAGGACAGATTTGTAAGTAAGACTAAATATTTTTGAGAAATAGAACTATGAACGATGCATTGTAGTGGGACCCCTGAGGGAATTTTAGAGGATTGGCATTAAGGCATTTACAATATGGTGTGGTAAAAGCTGATAAGCCAAGAAACACTTATAATGTGTTGTAATTAGGAAATAATTGGCTTCTGATTGTGATGGCGTGAATTATAACATCTGCATTGTCTCACCCTCCACATGAGACTGAAAATGGAATAAAACCTGTTCAAACACCTCTCAGTTGTCCCATCTCTGGGTCAGAAAGGAGCTTCATCTGACAGGCCATGTCTGTCCCCGCTGTCACCCCCGGTCACACATTCCCTCCCCTGGGGACCCCCGCGGCAGGGGGACCCCAAACCCTGAGGCCTCTCCCTTCTGAGTGAAGGTGACAGAGCCATCCCCACCGCCCTGGGGACCGCAGGGCTGGGCTGGGCTCCTGGCCAGATTCATCCCCCTGGAACGTCCCCGTGTGACAGCCCCAGTGCGCCCACGGCGGCTCCCATAAAAGCTCTGCCGACCCAGGAGCGGGACCCAGGAGCGGGACCCAGGAGCGGGACCCAGGAGCAAGATCCAGGATCAGGAGCGGGATCAGGAGTGGGACCCAGGAGCGGGATCCAGGAGCAGGATCCAGGAGCGGGATCAGGAGCGGGATCAGGAGCGGGACCCAGGAGTGGGATCCAGGAGCGGGATCAGGAGCGGGATCAGGAGTGGGATCAGGAGCGGGACCCAGGAGTGGGACCCAGGACCAGGATCAGGAGCGGGATCAGGACCGGGATCAGGAGTGTGATGGGGCCGTGCCGGGCGCTGCCGCCGCTGCTGGGGCTGCTGCTGGGGTTGGCGTTGTCCGGAGCCGCCACAACGCCGGAGCCACGCGGATCCACGGCGGGAGGGGACGGAGCCACGCTGGGGTGGGAAGGAACCGGAGGAACCGTGGCGGCCTCGTCCTCGCCGCGGTCCCTGAGCTACGGGGCCGTGGTGGCGGCGGCCGTGGAGCTGCTCAACGCCAGAGCCGTCAGCCCCTACGTGCTGCGGCTCCGCGAGGCTCAGCCCCGGCCCGGCTGGGTGAGTGCTGCGCTTTCCCTTTCCAGGGGAAACTCCAGGACTGGGCAGTGCTGGATTTGGCCCTTCTCAGGGTGGGTCTGCCCCGTTTTGGGGCTGACCCCCGACGGACTGAGCGCAGCAAAGTCGGGGCTGAGCCTGACCCATTCCAGGCTGGATGTGGCCCCTCTTAAGGCTGGTTCCGGCCTGGTGTGGGGCTGGGCACTGGGGGGTGGTGGATCCCTGATGGGTCCTGACCCTTTTCCCAGCCCTCAGACCTGCAGAGCCGGCAGGAGCTGAGCTTCACCCTGGAGGAAACCACATGCCGGACACCGGGAATGGCCACCAGCAACTGCAAGAGCCGCTGGCTCGGGGTGAGGCTTCGTCCCGTGGGAACTGGGGATTATCCATCCAGTGGGGAAACTGAGGCACGAGGGGGTTGGGCTCTCCTGTGTCCCCTCTGTGCCCCACAGGCGGTGACCTGGTGCCAGGGCTCCGTTTTCCGGGAGGAGCAGCAGCCCACGGTGGAACTCTCCTGCGAGAAGGCGCCGGCTGCGGTGAGGAGGGGCCGGGATGGCTCCGTGTCCCCCTGGCTGCTGGGGGTCCCCCAAGTCCCCTCTCACCCCCCAAAGTCTGACCCTGCTCTTTGTTTTCCCAGTTTGGCCGGACCTGGAAATCCAAGATCAAGGATTTCTTTGGCAAGATCAAGCAGCGCTTCCAGGGGTTCTTCCAGTGTGGTCGGATCTGGATCCGGGACAGGCTCAACCTCAAGGCTCCCAAACCCTGAGGGGTGACACTGCTGTGTCCCCACCTTGTGTCCCCTCCCTGTGTCCCCTCCCTGTGTCCCCACCCTGTGTCCCCTCCCTGTGTCCCCACCCTGTGACCCCTCCCCAGCTGCTTCACTGCCAATAAACATCCCCTGCATCACTCCTGGTGTCACCCTGAGTGTCCCCGCGCCCCAGTGGGGACTCCCGAGCGCTCCCAGCCCCCCCAAACCCCCCGTGCCCAGCCAAGGAGCTGTGAGAGCTGGGAACACCTGGGGGTCATGAATGGGGGACGTCATGAGTGGGGTGCTCTCATTGGGGCTCTGTGGAGATGCAAAGGGTCCCCCCTGCAGGTGCTGCCACCTCAGGGACCCCCCGACAGCCCCTCCACTGTCACCACAAGGGGACATGAGGATGGGGACGGTGCTGGTGACGGAAGGTCCCGGGGGAGCAGGATCAGCTCCCCCAAAATGAGCACAACACGGGCACTACCGGCATCTCCTCCTGGCACCGGCCTCCTGCAGGGACTTGGAGCCCTGGGATTGTCCTTCCCTGTGCCCAGGACACCTGGGGGGTCCCCTGGAGTCTGTGGGGTCCCCACAGAGGTGTTTGTGGGGTACAGACCCGCAGGAATATTGGGGGGACAGGAGGGACACCCGCAGGGGGCTGCAGCCATGACTCTGCTCCAGCCACTTTTGGGCCCCCCCGTCCCAAACTGGGTCCATCATGGGGGTCCCCTCAGGACCTGAACCCCCCCAGCCCCTCCCTTGCAGCTCCCTGGAGTGTCCCCTGTGTCCCCCCCATCTCCCTTTGCCATCACTGCTGGTTTGGGGGGGACAAGATGCAGTGGGGACAATGCCACCGTGGGGACAACGACTCTGTGGGGACAGTGACACCCTGGCGATGACAACGGTCCCTTTTTCGGGTGGGGTCCTGGGGGGGCTCCCAGAACGAACCCATCCCTGTCCCCAGCCCGACTCCACGTCCCCCTTGAGGACAGTGTGGGGGATCAGCCCTGTGTGACAGCCGTGCCTCAGTTTCCCCGTGTGACAGAGACAGGAGGACGCGGTGCCCGCACGGCCACTCCCGGTGACCCCTTTATTGCTCAGCCCAGCCCCACGGAGCCCTTCAGGTGGACGTTGAACTTGACCCGGGGTCGGAAGCGCCGCACCTTCCTCAGGAAGCGCCCGAAGCGGCCGCGCTGCACCAGAACCGGCTGCCGGAGGGATGGGGGGGTCAGGGGGTGTGGGGCTGTGGGACCCCCACCTTGGGAGCACAGCCAGGACCCCACCCAGGGACCCCCGCACCTGGAAACCCACCCAGGACCCCAGTGCAGGGACCCCACCCAGGACCCCACTCCAGGGACCCCATCCCCAGAATCCCACCCAGGACTTCACTCCAGGGACCCCATCCCCAGGATCCCACCCAGAACCCCAATCCAGGGACCCCAATCCAGGGACCCCATCCCCAAGATCCCATCCAGGACCCTACTCCAGGGACCCCATCCCCACCCAGGACCCCACTCCAGGGACCCCATCCCCTGGATCCCACCCAGAACCCCAATTCAGGGACCCCATCCCCAGGACCCAACTCCATGGACCCCATCCCCAGGATCCCACCCATGACCCCAATCCAGAGACCCCATCCCCAGAATCCCACCCAGGACTTCACTCCAGGGACCCCATCCCCAGGATCCCAGTGCAGGGACCCCAATCCAGGGACCCCATCCCCAGGATCCCACCCAGAACCCCAATCCAGGGACCCCATCCCCAGGATTCCACTCCAGGGACCCCATCCCCAAGATCCCATTCAGGACCCCACTCCAGGGACCCCATCCCCAGGATTCCACTCCAGGGACCCCACTCCAGGAACCCCATCCCCAGGATATCACCCAGGACCCCAATCCAGGGACCCCATCCCCATGACCCCACTCCAGGGACCCCATCCCCAGGACCCCACTCCAGGGACCCCAATCCAGGGACCCCATGCCCAGGACCCCACTCCAGGGACCCCATCCCCAAGATCCCACCCAGGACCCCAATCCAGGGACCCCATCCCCACCCAGGACTCCACTCCAGGGACCCCATCCCCAGGACCCCACACCAGGGACCCCATCCCCAGGATCCCACTCAGGACCCCACATCAGGGGTATTCCCCACCCAGGACCCCACTCCAGGGACCCCATCCCCAAGATCCCACCCAAGACCCCACATCAGGGGTATTCCCCACCCAGGACCCCACTCCAGGGACCCCATCCCCAAGATCCCACCCAAGACCCCACTCCAGGGACCCCATCCCCATGACCCCAGTCCAGGGACCCTATCCCCAGCATCCCACCCAGAACCCCAATGCAGGATCCCCATGACCCCACTCCAGGGACCCCATCCCCAGAACCCCACCCAGGACCCCACTCTAGGGACCCCATCCCCAGGATCCCACCCAGAACCCCACTCCAGTGACCCCATCCCCAGTATCCCCCCCATGACCCCATCCCCAGAACCCCAATCCAGGGACCCCATCCCCAAGATCCCACCCAGGACCCCACTCCAGGGGTATTCCCCACCCAGGACCCCACTCCAGGGACCCCATCCCCAGGATCCCACTCAGGACCCCACACCAGGGGTATTCCCCACCCAGGACCCCACTCCAGGGACCCCATCCCCAGGATCTCACCCAGGACCCCACTCCAGGGACCCCATCCCCAGGACCCCACCCAGGACCCCACTCCAGGGGTATTCCCCACCCAGGACCCCACAGCAGGGACACCACTCGTGTCCCCACACCAGGGACCCCACAGCAGTGACACTTGGGACCCCATATCCAGAATCCAACACTTGGGACCCCACCCATGTCCCCACGCCCAGACCCCACCCAGGACCCCCCACCCTCCTCTGGAGCCTCGGGGTGTCCCTTTTGGGACAGGGTCGCCCCACTCACGTCGGAGGAGGCGTCGGAGCAGCTCAGGTCGATCTCGGGGGAGTCCTGCTGGAACCGCACCGGTCCCGAGCACTCCTTGATGACCTGGGGGGACACGCGGTGTCACCCGGGGGTGGCAGCGGGCCCCGTGTCCCCCTTCCTCCCGCTGCTCCTCCTCCTCCCGCTCACCCCGTTCTCTTTGAAGTCGCACTCGTCGGGGTTGGCGCGGGCGCTGGAGGCGCACTCCGTCTCCATCATGCTGAAGTTGAGTGTCCGCAGCGAGCTCAGCTCCACGCCCTGGGACACGCGTGGGTGGCGGGTCACCAGGGGGAGGGGACAGGACAGGGGGCAGCGATAGGGGTGTCGATAGGAGGGGTGGCAGTCGCTGGTGTGAGCTCAGGGCCAGCGCTGAGAGGTCGCAAGGTGGGGATGGTGAGGGGTGTCACAAATGAGGGGTCACGAGTGGGGGTGACATTCTGCACCTCGAGTGGGGTGACACTCTGCACCCCGAGTGGGGGGACAGGAATAGGGGTGATAGTCACAAATAAGGGGTCCTGTGTGGGGTGACACTCTGCACCCCGAGTGGGAGGACAGGAATAGGGGTGATGGTCACAAATAAGGAGTCCCGAGTGGGGGGACACTCTGCACCCCGAGTGGGGGGACAGGAATAGGGGTGATGGTCACAAATGAGGGGTCACGAGTGGGGTGACACTGTGCACCCCGAGTGGGGGGATAGGAATAGGGGTGATGGTCACAAATGAGGGGTCCCGAGTGGGGTGACACTCTGCACCCCGAGTGGGGGGACACTCTGCACCCCGAGTGGGGGGACAGGAATAGGGGTGATGGTCACAAATGAGGGGTCCCGAGTGGGGTGACACTCACGCCTCGGCACTGTGCACCCCCAGTGGGGGAACAGGAATAGAAGTGATGGTCACAAATGAGGGGTCACGAGTGGGGTGACACTCTGCACCCCGAGTGGGGTGACACTCTGCACCCCGAGTGGGAGGACAGGAATAGGGTGATGGTCACAAATGAGGGGTCCCGAGTGGGGGGCACTCACCGGGCAGGACTCAGGGTCAGCCTGGGCAGCCCCAGTCAGGCACCACGAGTGGGGTGGGGGTGTCACCCGTGGGGAGGGGGGGGTCCCGCGTGGGGGGCACTCACCGGGGCGGGCTCGGGCTCCGCGCTGAGCAGCCTGAAGGCGTTCTGCACCTCGGGCTGCTGGTTGTAGGAATCCACGGCCTGCGCCAGCGCCTCCACGTAGGAGAGGGACGCGGGGGTGGGGAGGGCGCAGGCCCCCCCCAGCACCGCCAGCACCAGCACCCACGAGCTCGGCATCGCTGTCCCCACGGCCACCCCCGGGTCCCTTTTATCACCCCACTGGGGACCCGCCCCGGGGCTGCCCCTCGGGAATCGCCCGGCCCCAAAGCCGCAGAGTGGCCGTTCTTTTGGGGGGACGCGCGGGGCGGGGGGGTCCCCATGGATGGGCGGTGACATCTGAACCCCTCGGGGTCCCCCTTTGGCCGGGCGCGGGGGATTTGGGGGACAGCACCCCTCGGGTGGTGGTGACACGTTGTCCGTGTCAGGTCGGTGCCCGCGGGGTTGCACAACCCCAGAGTTGCCCCATCGCTGTTGCCCAAGGCCGGGGGTGCCCCCCGGGTCCCCCAAACCGTCATCACCCCCAGACACGCACAGGTCCGACCCCGAAATCTCTTTATTGCAGCTGCGCTGGGGACAGGGGGCGGCGGGACGGTCCCTGCCGGGGGCGAGGCCGCGATGAGGATGAAGATGGGGTGGAGGATGAGGAGGATGAAGATGAGTGACCTGGGTTGGTGCCAGGGGAGCGGGGCTGGGCGCTGTCAGCGGACTGCTGCGGGGAGAAATAAAAGGGGGGGTTCACTCCAGAGCCAAAAATGCCACCCCAAAAGTGATGGGGACGGGCTCCGGAGCTCTCACCGCCTCCCGGCCGCACTCCACCATCGACAGCGGCACGTCGGGCAGGAAGGTGAACACGGACACCTGGGCCGAGCAGCGCTGCACCTGGGGACAGAGCGACCTCAGCACACCGGGGACACCCCACGCGTGTCCCGGGGTTTGGGGGGTCCCACCCCACGCTCACCCTGCCCGGGCGGCCCCGGCAGGCGCGGGGATCCGGGGCGGGCTTGGGGCAGGGCGGCTGCCGGGCCGTGAAGTTGATGCTGAAGTGGGTCCCCCAGTCGAAGCTCTGGCGGGAGAAAAGCTCCGTGGGGATCCGCGTGGGATGGTCCGGAGGTGGAGCATCCCCCCGAACCCCTTTTTCCTACCGTTCTGGTCACTCCGAGCAGCCGCAGCAGGCGCAGCTCCTGCCCGTGTGTCTCCAGCACGGAGCGGGCCAGCTCCCGGGGCGCGGGCACGGCACCGGTAACGGCCCCGGTAACGGCACCGGGAACAGCCCCGGTAACGGCAGCACCCGCCGCCAGCAGCACAGCCCCGAGCAGCAGCGCCATACGGGCGGCACCGACACACTCAGCCCCGGCCTCGGGGCCCCCGGCTCCGGCTCCGGGGTGAAGAGCGGCCCCCGAGCCGCGGGGAGGGATCGGCTCGCCGGTGTTTTCCTTGGCCCGGTGCCGCGGAGGGGACGCGCCTGGACCTGCAGGAGAAGCGGCGATGCTGGAGCTCCGCAGGGCCGATCCCCCTCCGCGGCCTCTTCCCTGTGGCTGCTCCCCGTTTCTTGGCACGCTGGTCCCAAGCATTCTCCTGGAGCCCCCCATCCCTCCTCCCAGCTTCTTTACACGATTTTTGGGTTTTTAAAACCCTTCTCACCCTGCTCAGTTTCATCTAAACACCCCAGGCCCAGGTTTTCCTTGGATTCAAGAACACAGGGTTTAAGGAGGACTCCACCATGTGCCTCCTGCTCTCCTGGTTTGCCTTCCCTGGGTGAGTGGGTCTCGTTTCCCCAAAATTCAGTATTTTCCTGCTGCCTTTGCAGCCAGGAGCTCCTCTTTCTCCTGGCTTCATCCACAATGGAAAAGCAAAGGAATCCCTGGGGAAGGAATTTTGGGAAGCACAAGTGGGAGACACCCGGGATCCCTGGGCCTGGGAAGGGCACTCTGACAGCCCTGGGGTCAGGGGAGCTGCTGCTCTTCCAAAGGTATTTATTCCAATATTCCCAATCCAATGGACAGCCATTGACAGCCGTGGGGTCAGGGGAGCTGCTGCTTCTCCAAAGGTATTTATTCCAATATTCCCAATCCAATGGACACAAGTCCCCGGTGGGAGATGGTGGAGGGAGAAGGGATAATGGAACACCACAAGAGCAGCTCACCACAGCTTCCCCTGCCCATGGAGACCATCGGGAGGGGTCCTGGAGAAGAGAAGATGCCACGGGCAACAACTTCATTCTAATCATGTTTTTTCTTATTTTTCCTTTTTAAAGTCTGAGCAGCACAGAAAAGTCCAAAGGATTCCCATTTCTGGGAAGCCAGCAGTGGATAGATGTGGGAGAAATGGATATGTCCTGATAGATCACATTTATAACCAGATATGCTCATGACAGACCCTAAAATATACACAGTACCCCAATACAGACATCCACATATACAGCCAGAGTCAATCCCAGGGATGCTGGAGCAGGAACAGACACCAGGAGCGGGGCTGGGGGGCACATCCCGCTCCTCCCAGCCCCTTGGAACGCCAGGATGGGGGGACATGAGGGGACATCCCAAATGCCTGGCAGCTGGGGTGGGGTCAGGTTCCTGCTGCCTGGCCCTGCCTGCCCGGAGGAGGTATGGCTGTGCCCAGGGTGGCACGGGAAGAGCCGGGCACGGAGAGCTCCGGAGGATCACGGATCATGCAGCACAGGGGCTGAAGGGCTGATGCAGGGAAGATGCTGCCAGGCAGCTCTTTGGCTCTGCCAGCGTTCCAAAGTTTCCTGGCACAAAACCCATGGCAAAGACCTTTCCCAGCAGAGCACGGCAAACTCAGGACGCATTTTCCTTGCCTCTCCTAAAATATCCCAGCCTTTCTGTTCCAGCTGCCTCTTAGGCTTGGAAAATACCTCAATATTTAATTTAAAGGACATCCTGATAATCTATTTTCCATTTCGAAACCCTCAGGCTGTTGCCTGGAGTTGTTACCATCCATCCTTCTCCAGAGCTTGCCCAAATGATCCTGGTTTAACTGAACTTCTCCTCTTCCTGGTTTCTCCATCCTGTGGCTCTTGTGGAGAAGTTTTCCACATCAAGCTGAGGAAAGCACGAGCAACTGGGGGTGTCTTGTGTAAGAAGCTCCTGGAAGCGACAGCGCCGCGTTTGTCCTCTTTGGAGACCCCTCTTTGCAACCAGGACCCCCCAAATCGCTGCTGATACCCCTGGGAGGGCTCAGGTGGTTTTGCTGCTCCCAGAAGATGCAGATGGATTTTCCAAGTCCTTGAAGTGGCCGTTTTTATGTCACAATGAAGCCTGGCCCCCTCCCCCAGCCTGCAACGGCACTTCCCAAAGGCGCAACTGCAGGGATGGATGGATCCGCTCGGCCCCGGCTCCGGAGAAGGCCGAGGGGTGTTACCGAGAGGATCTTTGCTCGCACATAAACTCACCACGTTTGGCCCTCCAGGACCTTCAGCCCAAAAAGTTACAAGTGGGGGATTACTCTCAAGTCAAGTCACTTTGTGTTTGGATCGAGCACCTGGAAATCCCGGCACGCTCGCCCCCAAAACCGCCGCGGTCAGATGCTGAGGAGCGGCACGCAGCCCACGCCCACGCCGCCCTCGTGGCACACCATGGGCGCCATGAACGTCCAGCGGTTGGTCTCGGGGTCGTACATCTCCACCGAGCTGAGGTTGGACTGTCCGTCGTAGCCGCCCACGGCGTAGAGCCGGCCGCAGTTGGCCACGAGGGAGACGCGGCTGCGCCGGGTGTTCATGGGCACGATCAGGTACCACTGGTCGGCCATGGAGCTGTAGACTTCGGCGGCGCTCAGGAAACCGGAGCCGTCGTAGCCGCCGCACACGAACATGCGGCTGCCCAGCGCCGCCGCGCCGTGCCGGCACCGCTTGTTCAGCATGGGCGCCACCGCGTGCCAGCTGGACGTGTGCGGGTTGTAGTATTCCACCTGCCACGGAGCACGGCCACCGTTAGGGATGCTGCTGCCTTGGGAATCGCCCGCTGACGTCCCCTGTGGCACCTCCAAACCGGGGCAGTTTTGGGTTTCTCGTGGTGAGACAAAGAGGGGATGCCCAGGGAAGGGAAGGGAGCTGGGGAAGGGTCTGGAGCAGCTGAGGGAGCTTTAAAGGAAGGATTGAGCTGCCTTCATCTAAAGGTTCAGCTGCTATGGGGTGGTGCCTGAAGGGTTTGGGTTGGAAGGGACCTTAAAGCGCATCCAGTGCCACCACTGCCATGGGCAGGGACACCTCCCACTATGCCAAGGTGCTCCAAGCCCTGCCCAGCCTGGCCTTGGGCACTGCCAGGGGGGCACCCTGTGCCAGGGCCTGCCCACCCTCCCAGCCAGGAACTACTTCCCAATATCCCACCTAAATCTCCCCTCCTTCAGCTCAAAACCGTTCTCCCTGTGTCCTGTCCCTCCATCCCTCATCCCCAGTCCCTCTCCAGCTCTCCTGGAGCCCCTTTAGGCCCTGCAAGGGGCTCTGAGGTGTCTCTGGAGCCTTCTCTTCACTCCCAGCCTGTCTCCATATCCAGGGGACTCCAGCCCTCAGAACACCTCCATGGGCCCGAGTGGATAAATGAATCACTTCTGTTCCACCTCGGGTTTTTCTGCTATGGGTGGGAGTGACACGATGTGGTGGCACAACCACTTGGGGCTGTTTGGCTGCCCAGGGAGAGGACAGGGAGCCTTCCAGCCCCATGCTGAGGTGCAGGGATGAGCCCTGCCCAGGGCCTTACACTGTTGAAGATCTGGAGCCCGTCGTGCCCTCCGGACACGTAGATCCGGCCCTCGAACACGGTGACCCCGGCAGCGCTGCGGTTGGAGCTCATGGGGGTCACTGCTGTCCACCTGGGAGGGAGAGGGGAGAGGTTAGCAGGACTCCCACAGATCATTCCATGCTTTTCTAGTGCTGGATTCTACCATCTCTCCTTTCCCCACTCCTTATTCTCACAGCCCAGATGCCCAGCGGTGCCAGGACACGGAATACCAGAGGGGAAGCTCCTGGAAAAGCTCAGGGACACGAAGGGCTCTTACTTGTTTGTTTCTGGAGAGTAGGACTCCACCGAGTTGAGGGATGAGTTTCCATCGTAGCCACCACACACGTAGATCTGCCCATCCAGCACCACCGTTCCCATGGCACTGCAAGGAACAGCAGGAGGTGGCTGGAGGTGCTGTCACCCTGTCCCCAACACTGTGACCCCGCACACTCTGCCTGTGGCATCCCACCAAACTGCCTTTTCCCTGGATTCACCTCCAAACTGCTCAGTCCCACTTGAACTCTGAGCTCACAAAGAGGAAAGGTGCTCATGGCAGGAGCACCTCAAATCCTGGGCTTGGATTTGGGCCCCCCACAACAAAAAAAGACATCTGGAGTGTGTCCAGAGAAGGGGATGGAGCTGGAGCACCAGGAGTGGCTGAGGGAGCTCCAGAGAAACTTGGTGAGGAACATGTACATCCTCCACCCCTGCCCTGGACAGCCTGTGCCAGGGCTGGACAACCCCTTCCAGGGGGAATTTTCCCTGTATCCAACCTGAACTCCCCTGGCACAGCTTGAGGCTGTTTCCCCTTGTCCTGTCTCCATTCCCTGGGAGCAAAGCTCAGCCCCCACGTGGCTGCACCAGAAACTAATCAAGGAAATCCCAGCTGCTTCCACACTGCCCCATTCCTCCTTTCCCATTTCCACCCCAACACACACACACTGCTGGCTGCCCACCACCTACCACCCCACCCTTCCTCCAAAACTGTTTTTCCTTGCTCTTCAAGAACCACTCTCGTTTTCCCTGCTTTTCCAGAAGTCTCCTCCCTGTGAGCTGCACGTACCTCCTCTTACTGTTCATGCTTTCCACTTTGGACCAGGAGTCGGTGTCTGGGTTGTAAACCTCCACGGTGCTGAGCCTGAGCTGTCCGTCGTAGCCGCCGATGGCGTAGAGCAGCCCGTTGAGCACGGCCACGCCGACGCGGCTGCGCGCCGTGGCCATGGGCTGGCACTTCTCCCAGCGGTTGGCAATGGGGTCAAACACCTCCACCACGTTCAGAGAGTCGCCTGCATAGAAATTTGCTACTCAAATTAAAAGAGGGAGACCTGATGAAGCCCTGGGATGGTGACGGGGGGTGGAGGGGTAAAAATGGGGTTGGCGTGGGGAATTTGCCTGCTTTCCTTTGGGGAAATATCTGGGGAGGAAAAAAAGGAGTGCAAAGTGCTGCACTTGGGTTGGAGTAAGAAATTCTTCCCTGTGAGGGAGGTGTGGATGCCCCTGGATCCCTGGCAGTGTCCAAGGCCAGGCTGGACAGGGCTTGGAGCAGCCTGGGACAGTGGGAGGTGTCCCTGCCCACAGCAGGGAGTGGAATGGAGTGGGCTTAAGGTCCCTTCCAACCCAGACCATTCTGGGATTCTCTGTCCTATCCTGGGCTCTCACATCTATTCCAGGCTTCCTGCTCCCACAGAGACATTTCCCAGCAAGATATCCCTGCTGGTCCCCAGAGCAGGGATTGTTCCCGCTCTGAACAATTCCCATTGCTCCCACAAAAGATCAGGGAACATTTCCAAGCTGTGCTGTGCTCTGCACGAGGGGCCTGGACAAGTCCCCCGTGTGGAAGTGGCACCTCCAGTGTCCTCCAAGGGGCAGCAGAGACCTGCAAGTCCCATCTGTGGTGCCGCTGATTCCGGGGAGCACAGCTCCTCTGTAACAGGCTTTTCCTTGGTCACTTTCTGTTCCCTTTTTATGCCACGGTGAGGCTCATGTCAAAGTGCTGTGATCCCACAACACCAACAACATTGTGGGAATACCTGCACATCCTGGGCTCCAGGGCTCAAAGCTTTTAGGAATGTGTCCTAAATAAGCCTCACTTGGACAGGATTGCAGATGGAAGATGTTAAATTATGTTAAACCACCCTGAGGGTTTCACTGGAAGGGTGCATGGAGGATGAGACACTGCTCCACGCTTCCATGAGAGGGAATTCCATGATCCCAGCATCCCAGCCAGCCCCTCCACACTTCCACAGGAGGGAATTCCATCATCCCATCACCCCACCCAGCCCCTGGTGGTGTTTCCACTGCAAGGTACCTGCTGAGTTGAGTCCCCCCACGGCGTAGATCAGCCCCGCGATGGACGTGCAGCACCGCGGCCGCGTCTTGAACGCCGGCAGGTGCGGCCGGCGCTCCGGCATCAGGTGGTAATCCTTGGCTTCATCAACCAGATCCCTGAAATCCAACCATGAAATATGAAAGAGGAGATCTGACTGTCTGGTGTGGGAATCAAGGGCATCCCTCTGGCTGCCCTGGCAGCTCTGGGACCCTGGCAGGGGTCAGGAACCCCCCTGGACAGAGCCCCCAGAGACACTGGCTGTGATCTCTGCCCATGGAAAAGAGTTTTCAATCTTACAGGGTGAATTACAAGCTCTGACTGTTTGGTATGAGTAATAATTAAGTGTGGCATGGGTGCAAAAGTAAAATTTTAGGATTCTAGATTAGGGGTTCAGAGGGGACAAGATGGAGGAAATTGGGTGTGTCTTGTCCTTTTTCTCCTTCTTCATGCCCTCCATGTTTCACTGTGGTGTTGGCATTTTTCTGTTGGTTCAGGCTGGGGACACACTGTCCAACGTAGGTGACGGATATTGGCCCGTTATTGTAAATCCAGCACAGGTAGTTTGTGGTATTTAATGTTTGTACCATCCCACTGAGGGCAGAGCCCCACACGCTGCCCTGCAGGACAGAGCTGCGGCAGGGCAGCAGAACATGTTAGAGATAAACAGAATAAACAACCTTGAAACCAGCACAGACGAATTATGGCTTCTTCTTTGGCAGTGAGGCTGACAGACAGAGACTTTCTACAATCTCAGAATCATCAATAAACAGATTCCAACAGTCTGGAGTATGAGACTGAAGGATCTGCCTCGTGGCCAAGACTCACCTGCACTTGTGGCAGCAGCGGACCAGGTCGTCCTGCTGCACGCGGTCCGTGAGGAACTGCGGCCGGCACAGGGGCAGCCGGATTTTGGAGAGCAGCTCGGGCAGGAAGGATTCCCTCTGCTCTCGGTCGTACCTGATCCAGGCCAAGGCAGCTTCAAACACCTGCCAGGAGACAGCGGTGGGAAGGTGGATTTTGGGGCCTGTGCAAGTGGATGGGTGTCAGATGAAGCTCCTTTCTGACCCAGAGATGGGGCAACTGAGAAGTATTTTAAAAAGTTTTATTCCATTTTCAGTCTCATGTGAAGAGTGAGGCAATACAGATGTTATAATTAACACTATTACAATTAAAACCCAACTATTTCCTAATTACAATACATTATAAGCGTGTCTTAGCTTATCAACTTTTACCACACTATACTATAAATACTTTAATAATCTAAAATTACCCCTCATGAGTCCTACTACAATGCATCTTTCATAGTCCTATTTCTCCAAAATATCTAGTCTTATTTACAAATCTATCCTTTAAAACTTGTTTCTAGTTCCATTTCTCTCTCAGCAATGTCCTATTCCATGGCATTTCTAAGTCAACATTTCTTACCTCAAAGTTTACATATAAATATATACTATGTGGATCTTCTATCAAACTTTA